ATTATTAGCTTTAAAAATCATAATAATTTCATAAAATTATATTTCTAATTCAATGACTAATGGTTACTTGAATATTTCTTTTATTATACTAGCAAGTATTTCAGAGGATCGGGTTGAAATAATAGTAAAAAACAAACATTTGATTTAGTAATAAATAGACATAACAGAAAAATTCTCTAAATCTTATCTCTTATGCAATTGTTTTGTTTTCTATCATTTTAGAAGAAAAAAGTTTGCTTTGTATGTACTATGAAGAGTCTATACAACAAGAAAACAAACAATATTTCAATAATCCATTAATTAATTAGAGAGGAAACATGCAATCTTATTTTTTTGACACCAGCTCTGATAAATTATATTTCAAGAAAATGAAACATTGATTTCATTGCCAAAAAGATATGTTTAGATTGTATTCAATTTTCCCTTCAATGAAAAATAACCTATCAGACTAACTGGAAAGGACAATCAAAAATGAAATAAACCATGGCTCTTGCTGTACCACACTGAAAATGTACGAGATGACACTGAAATGCACAATTTAAAAAAATATGCACTTGAAGTAATGTTAAGCATATTTAAATTTTTAAAAGTTTCTTTTAAAAAATCAAATAACAACTGAAACATCTAAATCATGCAAATTGCCTTTTTTTAAGTCTCATAACACATGTGCTCTGATCATTATTTGGCTTTTGACTTAGGTTTTTGTGGCTTTGAATATAATTACTTGGGGCAATGTCTTGCTCTAATAGCTATATCAGATCTATGCCCTATCTATCCTTCTATCTATCTTTCTATCTATCTATCTATCCTTCTATCTATCTATCATCTATCTTTCTTTATATCTATCTCTTATGCAAATTATTACAATAAAATATGAGAAAGAAATAAGGTTGAAGTATGTATATGAAGAGAATAAAATAAATTATTGGGAAAAAAATGAACAAAAAACAAAGACCAGGGGAATCCTTCTGCGCATTCTCCTTCTTCCCCTCCCCTCCTTCAAGAGCTCATCAGAGTTTCTCAGGACAGCCCAAGAGCCCTGTACGATTTATTGTTGAACAGCAGAGAATCTTGCCAGTGATTTTTTACAGAAGATCTTACAGTGATGTTTGACCAAAAGCAATAAAATTCCAAAAGTAAGTTTTTGTTGTTGTTGTTGTTATTGTTGTTCTGTTTTCAATTTGCTGACTACCTCTAGCTCTTCAAGAAGATCAGGGGCTGCCATCCTCCTGCCTCAGTCTCCCAAGTAGCTGGGATCCGGGAGGCCCTCACGCCAGACTTTACCTGTTCTTTAAAAATCCTGTTTTCAGTGGAATCCTCACAGAAGCACCCCCCCACCCGTCCCCAGCTTAAATCGGTGAACATCAACTCAGAAAACCCACAAGCACCCTTTCCCCTCCTGGAGTGCTGATTCTTAGCTATAATTTTCTATTAAGTTAATACTGTTAAATGGGAACAAATAATTTTTAAAATTTAAAAAGTTGTTTTTTTTTTTTTTTTCAAAAGCGACAGTAATGCAGCAGACGAGTTCCTTCAGCCCCTTTACCTCCGATGACCCCAGAGTCGCTTCTGTCCGCCTTCACCAAAGGCTCTCCCTCCTCGCTGGGTTCGAAACGACCTACGGTAGAAAAGGGGAGGCTGCCAAGGGCGTCGCAGGCCCTCTCCACCGCGCACCGCCGCCGTTCCCAGCCCGCGGGGAGGGGCAGGGGGCCACGCACCTGCGCCACCTG